AAACTTTCCAATCGCTCTCAGTCTCATATTCGTTGTTCATTCAATAGGTGTGCAGGTGAAGTTACACTAACGTATTATTTGCTTTTACTCTATTATTTGTTTATATTCTACCACCCACCACTTGTAGTGCAAAGGCGTATTACGTGTGTGCGGAAATTTACTACATCAACGTGTTTCGACCCAAGAATGGATGCTATTGAAAATGGTTCGGTTTGGAGTACGTTCTTTTCGATCACTTCCCATAGACTGCCTCATTTTGAAACACCGTTATGTCAATAAGTGCATCAAGCCAAGTTGAATGGTGGGCCGTGGTCCATCATAGCGTTTTAGTGGATTAAAGAAGTTGGAAATCAACAGGTTGCATATTCCCGGAGTGTCTAATTTCATGAAGCACTGCACTTGGGGAAAGGAAAAGCTGATGATCTGTGTGGTGGCGTCCTTAAAAAGTTGTATTTTTACAGGTTCTTGCACGAATCCAACCTTGTGGAGAATGAATTGCATCCCAGTTAAATTCGAAATCCAATGATTTCTAGAAAGTGTTTATATTACTTCCGCATTTACACGAAAACGTATTCACGAAATTCTTATGCAATATGAATAGATAAAGAAACTAATTTAAGGAATGGCTTCAATGAGTCATATGGGGGATGGGATCGGACGATCAAAGTCGATTTAAGTAAACAGCTTTTAGTTGCATCAAGCAAAAGGCGATCAGAGATGAATTTGCATGAATAATGAACTTGACATACTGTAATGGTCGCGATGAAATATATTTAATGGGCGTAAAAGTGCTTTCCTTATCTTGTCACTGGTGAAAAGAATTACATTTACTTGCTTATGAAATTGTTCTCCAAAGGGATTCGCAAAATTTGTGAAGCCATTAATTTGTAAAATGTAGGATGCAGCGGCCGATGTTTTCTACACCATCAAAACTCAATATTCGGAGTAGAATTTAGATAAAAAAGTTTGCTGATGGCAATGCTAAATAGCTACCAGTTAACGCAAACATATAAATATTGGATTTCTTTTTTTCGTTTTTAATAAGCGACGGAATGCAGCAAAGCCGATTGCGGTTGAGCTTTTAGTTGCGTAAATTTATGCTAGACTTGCGATCGATCTCTGCTCGGGTTTGTCAAATATTTAAAAATTTCTCTTTTAAGATTTTTCTATTGATTTATGGGAAGTCAGATCACTATTCGTTCGAGTTAATTAAAAAATCACAGTCATATTCGGTCGTTGTCACCTGTCATTGGTCGTACGAACTTGTGACCAAGTTTGCTTACTATCGTTTATGTGACCTCGTATCAAATTTAGTATTCCGGAAAGGTAATCAAATATTGACTGTATGACAAAACGGGATGGCCAACTTATGAAAGTCACAAAGTTTGGACCTGCAATTAATTTGAAAACATACTTTAAAAGTTCTTCAATCTGATGATTGATTCAGTAGAATCACATAATTGTCACATACACTCATCCGATATTATTCGTGCCTCAAAATGTATAATACTGCGAAAAACTAAATCCAAATTGACAAATGAAAAAAAAAAAAAATTATAGGAGGTATCTTTGCTTCGATATTTTGATATTTTTCTCTTAAATTTTACTTATATTCTTTAAACTTTTCTTTTGAACTCTTGTGTACTGAATTGAAAAACTGCTATGTGACCAGCTGAACAGATAATCACAAATTTGAAATTCGTTGGGATGGTATGTCAGAATACCAAGAAGTCACAATGTCAATTGAAAGTCTTGGTGATGATCTTAAGAATAGCAGAGAGAGAGAGAGAGTGAGAGAGAGAGACTGAGTGGGGTCGGAGGTGTAGAGAGAGTGATGGATAAAATATGTAAATGCACATGAGCACATCGAATCAAAATTTCACGTTGCTTATATTCTCTTTAAGCTTTATATCCTCTTTGATATTCGTTTTTTAGTGACTCTAGTCTTTCTTTAATGTACACCTGAGAAAGAGAGGGAGTAAAGTGGGGGGAGAGGGGCGAGAAATATAGAGTGAGAGAATGAGAGAGAGTGAGAAAGAAAGAAAGAAAGAAAGAAAGAAAGAAAGAAAGAGAGAGAGAGAGAGAGAGAGAGAGAGAGAGAGAGAGAGAGAGACATAAATGCACATGAGCATATCGAATCAAAATTTCACTTCAATCAAACGCTTATATTCTCTTTAAGCTTTATATCCTCTTTGAAATTCGCTTTTCAGTGACTGCATTCTTTCTTTAATACGCACCTGACGTTAGTCATTTATTCCAAAAGTTGAATAAATGCGGTTGAACGGTTTTAATCTCTCTGTTACTTTAAGTTATTTTAAGGCAAAAATATATTTACGTATTAAAGAGCAACTGAAAAGTTCGCGGACAGAAAGTCAATATATGAATTGTGAAGTGTTTTGTTAAGAAAGGCCGGATAAATTGCTTCATAAAGATACTGTTCATGATAAAATATCTCGATAGCTCTAAGGAATTTACGCACCACCAATTCCCACATTTTTCACTTTCTACTGCTTACGAATTCTAAAAGTATTTCTTTGTTGCGAGGTACTTGTGAGCTAATCACGTCTACAATTGTGTATGTTTGATCGGTTCCACGGGTAATGGGTAGGCGAACGATTCATTGCCACCAGTCAGTGTTACATATTGAAGTGATGTGGCCATCTCCGTTTCTCTATAAAGATTGAGTCAATATTTCGATTAAATCCGTTAAAAAAGGGTGGAGTGTACGTTCCTCATTTATTTCTACTAGGATAAGCTTGTGCTCGATTCACTGCTTTGACCCATCATAAAATTTTTCGATCATTTGAGTTTTCTTAATGCCAAACTTTCCTAATGACAACGTTTTTATATTTTAAGCACGTAACAAATAAAAGCGAATGAAGTTTTGCTCTATTTGTGTTTTGTTTTTCGTTTTCCGTTTTCCGTTTCCTTTTTTCTATTTGAACAGTAAGTCAATAGTGTTTTATGTGAATGAGAATTAGAATGAAAAGTCGTTACGGGATTAATTATTATCGATGCACAATATATTGTATAAATGGGCGGAGTGAGATTTACTTCATAGCCTCAATATAACAATGCGCACAAAGCGAAAAGTATTACAATGCAATGCAACGTTTCATTACAACTTAAGAATGCAAATCGTATTAATGAAACAAATATACATCATCTTGGATATTGGATGCTATTCACAATTAGCAGAGAGCAACTAAATAGAGAAATTTACATTCGGTTAGAAAATTTCTTCGAGAAATTTGAAATGTTTTCTTAAGAAAGAGCAAAAATATGTAAAGACATTTCTACTCAGAATGGGACAAACCATGAATATTCACCACTTCAGGTATATGGAAAAATTACTGGATTTACTTTTCTTTCTCTGTTCTGTACGTACATGTACAATATGTCAATTATTTGATGGATGTATGTGTACATTTTTATAGAAAATTTTCAAATGGCGTTGGTGAATCTTTAAAGAATCCTTTTTCTATGGCAAGAGGAAATGTCAAGTTAACTGCATTTATATATGGAATCTAATGCAGTCATGTATATGGAATTTATTATAAAGTCAACGACAAACGTAATGCACTCTTACCTCAAGGCTATGAAAGCAATTGATCAATGTGGTAAACACTAATGTAAAATTGGAAGGAAGAGGGTATGTAAAATGATAGGAGGACACAAGGATAAACAAGAAGCAAAAGAGCAGAAATGGCGGAGGACGAAAAAATAATATAGAAAGGTAAATGAAGGAAGAACAAGAGTAAGTAAGATGATAATTGCATTCGATTCTGGTTGAATCTTTTGTGCTAACCACGCAACATAAATAACATTTCGATACTGAGTAATGTTGGGAAGGCGTGGCGAGCATTTTGCACTCGCGTAGCTGCTGCTGTTTTGCATTGTATCTCTCGCAAATTATGGATAACGAGAAAAACGATTTTTTTTTGATTTGTTCTCAGTTTGCGTTGCGATCAATTCGTGCATTTACGACAATTTCGATCGTTTTCAATACTAACCTACATGAAGGAACTTCTAATGCGCTTGCCTAATTTGAAGTCGATATTTTCATTTGTATGACCAGGACAATTTTTCGCCAAACGTTACATTGATGGACACGCGAAGTGTTGACATAGACTCAGACACGGATACTGATCAAAAATGCATACATACTTTATATCATCTTTGAAGCTCTAAGTCTTTCCAACACTGACTAATGAAAGCTTGTTAGGACATTTTAAGAATATGAATCTACCACCTATCAGTTTTAATGAAGGAGAAAAAAGGCGAAGGGGAGTTTGCTGCGACTAATCTCCCGTGGAGTTTTATTTTGAGAATTTCATGAATCCAATAGCATTCAGGGATTTGATAAAACAATTCTATCTTCCAGTATTATATTTAGCACGAGAAGTTCAAGGAGTAAAGAAGAAAGTTTAAAGAAAACTGCATTTTTTTGTTTCATGTGACCAACCATCCTTGAGGTGTGGTTAGTAAGGCAGTGTGAAAGTCGTATTTATTTATACTTTCTCGTAATTTCGTGGTCATATGATGGCATTATCACTTAGGACACGACAGACGTGTTAGCGTATAATAACGATAACGGTAAGCATTTATCATGTGGCATGGCAAACGGGTAGAAATTTTATTGTTATTATTAAGCCAGGCAATATCATTAGGTGAGTGCCTAGTCTGAGTTTGTAGCTCAAGTTGAAGGCAAGGCAAAAAGTTAATGTTACTAATGAAATATTCATAAATTTACAAACAAACAAATTATTGAGTAAAGCCCATTAGGTCATTGATGTATAATGTGCTACATTATGATGGCACTGCCGTCAAATAATGCATGTCGCGTGTATATCATCAATCAAATTTCTGTCAAAGTAACCTTAGATTTTATTTACATTCTATGATTTATATTTGTTTCTTTTTCTTTTTTTTATATTCATATTAAATACAAGTATTCAATCCTTTACGAATATATTTCAGTTTTCTTTTCTTGTACTTACTTGCTAAAACCTCTATAGACTGTGGCGTACGAGCCTTCCCCTAAAGGCTCTAACTTAACGTAGGCATCTTGTTTTCCAAACGGTGAGTCTCCCTGCAAATAACACAATATATACGAAATTAACTTAAATAGACATAAAATCTATTAACTAAAAGTATGCTTTGTTTTTTTTATTTTTCATTTTTTTCTTTAATTAAACAATAAATGAACAGAGTGTAGTATAGTGTTTTTAAAGTTGACAAAAGAGAAGAAAGTGTGGAGAACAAAAACTGAGACCGGTTTCTGGTTCGCGATAACTGTGGATTGTGAACTCACTGCGCTGAGTAACGAGTACAGAGTTCACAAATGTCGAAAAAGTATGCATCTTTCTTAAGGTAAGGCTGCTGTTGAGTAAAACATTCAAATTACGATCGAGTTTACGCGATATCGAGAACTATACAGCGGCATCTAAACAGGGACAAAAGTTATCGACGATGAAGCTACGGCTATCTATCGCTTTCATGAAGTCATGTGCAAATAAATAAAGAATTTCTTAGCACAATTTAGTGATTGAACTAACAATCTATGATCATTTGAAAAAACTTCGATTTGAGCCTTGACTAAACTAAACTCCACCTATCTGTGTGTTATGTATAGCAATATTGTACACAATCGCATTGGGCAGAACAAGCAGTTTATCCCTATTCCTAGCCCTTCCTTTTAGAAATGAGAAACGGTAATCAAGCGAAATTTCGCAGCACCCGAAGATCTATGGATATATGGCAGAAAGTGTAGGACACAGAATCCCGCAGTGGCACATGTATAAATGCCTTGAAAGCTTTTAAGACATATATTCACGCTGAGCGGCTAAATGCTAAATACAAAATATCATTTTGAATTTTATTTGTGGAGTTAGCGCCAGTGACGGGATTCTGATTTACGGGAATATCGGACGATACCGGGGAAAGTGTTGACGACGAATGTGCCAGGAATAAATTTTTAGTTTTTCTTAAATGCGTCTTTGGTAGTTACTTCGGCAACTTCACCACCTTGTGCTTGTAGAGGATGATTGCATATTTTTTTCCTTGCCCTTCACCGATTATTTCAGTCTATTCAGCCTATAAAATGACTTGAATGGCTATTTAACAACATCTAACGTCGGGTTGTAATCGTATCGTGTGATGTCAATTGGCATACGAAAAGTCAACAGACGATACGATACTACGGTACATACTCCCGAACCGGCAAACGCAGTTAGTTGAAAGCATTTCAATGGCACACTTAACTACGGCCAAGAATTTATGTTTGCGTTACGGTTGTAATAGATAGAGAAGATTTATTTTATGAAAATACTTAAATAAGATTTCTTCTTTTTTTTTTTTATTATTATTTTTAATGATAGCGATAAAAAATTTTTTTTTTTTTTTACATTTTTTTTACATTTTTTTTCTCTCTAATTGCACTTAACGTTTGAAAAAAGGACATATTTTTTTTATTTGTTTTTTTTTTTTTGGTTAATTTTATTTTATTGCTGCCATGGCAAGTTCTTAAAAAAAACTCTGATTTAAACTACCGCACAATGACAACGAGAGTGTTATTTATGATACTCAAACTCCAGAGAAACTAAGTTATGTGTACTTAAAGCTGCAAAGAAATAAAACTAAAAGCAAAAAACTTATCCTCGCTTTGAGCCGAATTTTTGATGCTCGTCACCTAAAGGCGGTACGTATATAAAAACTATAAGATCCTTTTTTAGTTGCGGGCGTATCATCCGCTTTTTACACAATTTTTTTATTTCGAAACTATTTGTAATCAGCTGCAGGCCAACATTCGCTATCGGGTGTATTGCTTGCAGGTTTTTCCATATATCACTGACTGTATACACTTTGGGGAGAATAATGCCCCTTTTCAAACTTGATTTGCGGCCATCAACTGGCAATGTAGGTAAACTCAGATAGCTGAATTTTTGACGATCATCAATTGTCCAGTAACTAGCAACAGGCGCAAGAATGGACGCACATAGTTTAATCAATTGTTGAGAATCTTGCATTTGAATCATAGGAGATCTTTGTTGCGTCAACCCAAATGTTACAAATGGAAAAACAACTTTAGCATATTATCTTTGTTTGATGGGCATAAGAAGAAAAGAAACAACTACTACTTTAGGCCATAGATAAAAGACTTTACAAGACGATGCGTTTTGTATTAAAGAGAGGAAAAAGAGAAGCAGAAGAAGAAAATAAATAAATAAATATATAAGTAAATAAATACTTACACCAAATGCACTGAAACGTTTACGACGCGGATGCGGGTCTTGTTTATTGAGGAAAACTTCTGATTTCGGTCTGGGTGGTTTCTTTGGACGCATTATGACGCGAGTTTCCTCTCGTATATCATCATCTAATAATTTACTATCGGATGATACGGACAATTGTCGTTGGACTCGATCGTGGTGGTCGGTGCTATCTGTGCTACGCCAGTCTGTAAATGAAAAAAAGAATATCATTGAAAAAATTTCATGAAAACGAATTAAACGGCAACCGCAACAACAACAACAATAATAACATAAAGAGCAGTATCTTGAGTTTTATTTAAAGGCAAGCGGCCATAAAATCAACTGCACACTACAATTCGAGAGTGTTTACTACGTATGTGAACATGTATGTGTATGGTTATAGAGTGAAGTGAAAAATGTCATTTTAAGTCAAGAACAATAAAGATCTCTTTGTGTATGTGTGTGTGCGCGGAATGAAAGAATGAATGAAGAGATAAAGTAAAACAAATAAAAAGTAAATAAATAAATGTAAGCCTTGGTAAAATTGTTAAAAGATCATAAATTTCAAGTTAAACTTTATCTTTGTAAGAAAAATATGTTTTTTTTTTTTTTTTTTTTTTTTGTTTGCTTCTTTTCCTCTTACAAGTCTTGCATTCTTCAAATGCAAGCAAGAAAATGGGGAGTTAAGTGCAAAATGAACGAAAAACGGGCTTTTAAATGCTTTGCTGGAGATGTTCAAAAGGACTGACTGTTATGCTTGCTTTGTAAAGCATTAAAGCGCGATACCTTTTTTTGCGTTTCATGTTACTTGCTTTGCAAGGACACAAGAAAAGTTTTAAGCTTTCACTCTTATGCATCATCAACTTAAAGAAAGGAAAATCTTGAAACTTTGTATCTCATATTTCTTCTCATTAATTGTTGGCAGTTGGTTAACCTTATTATTGCTTTTTATATATGTGTGTATATACGCGAAAGACTAATGCTTGGACAAAGCGTCAAAGTCAAAGGAAGTAGAATTTTTTCTTTGTTTAAATATATTATTGTCCATGCATTAAATATATCTAATTATATGTGTGTCCCGAGCGGAAATTAAGTATGTTTCAGATATTGTTTGCAAGCGTTCAATGAGAACTCGGAACTCGCTTTTTGATTACTAAAAGTTGACCTATATCTATAGTTTTCAAATTTTATTCGAAATCGCTAGATGCCTTAATGTCGCTGGCTACATAGAGAAACACCCTATCTTAAATGAGAACTTTTTGGTAGCCTCTGATGCAGGTTCCTAAGACTTACTCGTGCAATTGTGAAACTAGTTTAGTTATCTTACATTTCTTCTTTTTCGGCGATTAATACAGACGATCTTAGTTTTGTTTACTGCAGACATTTTCCTGAGTAACACAACCAATCAATTGCTTAGTCTCATCTAAGTAACTATCTTTCGAATATTGGCAATAAACTGTAGACCGCTACATCGAGCAGTTGATAAAGTACTAACGGAAATTTAAAAAGCATTGCTACCGTAATGCGCGAAAAACTATACGTTTTTTGTTTTTGAAAGCAGAGGTGGGCTCACTTTATGTTCTACCGTGCGTGTGTTCTTCTATCGATTTGGTGCGTTTTCAACGTTTCCTTCAAATATTAAGTTGATAGCCTTATTTTTGTGACCAGGAAAACCGTTTATCGCAGACAGGTAGACAAACAGAGCCGCTTAAGTCCATTCAACATTTGATGTTGGTCATGAATTTACATAGTTTATGGGGTCACTGAAGCTTCCTTCCAGGCGTTGCAAAGCGAATATACTTTCGTGAGTATAAAAGGGGCAATAAAATGGTACGGTTTATTTCGTGAGCATTACTTGGCTGCAAGATAAAGCGAAAATCCATTCGCGGGATGTAAATAAAAAATGATATCGCATATGATACACATATCTTGATGACACAAACGATTTATCGAATTTTGCATAGAGAAAACTATTTGATAATTTTCGTATGAAATAAAATTTTGAGAAAATACAACAATTTAATCCCTGCCCACGCAGATATCGATCAGAGTGTGTCCTACTTCTTTCTTCTTTCTTGTTAACAGTAACGTCCTCTTCGCAGTCAATTCTTGAGATATAAAGTTCTGCATACAGTTTGCATTGCTTTCCGAAGCATATTTTTAGTTGCTACAAATGCAATGACTCAGTTAATTTAACATTCGTTGAAAAATGTAATAAGATTTTTCATCCAATTAAGCATTAGCCCTCGGTGCGTACGTAGGAAGTTAAGGCAAAAAAAAAAAAAAAAAAAAAAAAACTTTTTACGAAATTTTATGCAGATATATATAAAAAGACTGTGAAAACTATTCTCCATATTGGTCAAAACTTTTCAAGTTGATTTTTTTTTTATTTTTTTATTTTTTTTTATTTTCATTCATCAGATATTGAAGAGTTTATAACCAGTGTATTACAATCAACATTAATTTCATTCATTGTGCTTAAGTGCGAACACGAAAAAAAAAAAAGAAAAAAGAAAAGAAAAATGCCAAAAAGAAGAAAAAGGAGAATGAAAATTAAATTAATCCTCTCTTTTGTACATTTTTATAACCTACCACATCGGTATGGCAAGGGCTACAAATTGGTTGCAAGTGTAAAAGAGTGGAAGCATTAAAAGCAGCCGCCACTGCATTGCGAGAAAGACTGAAACAATGAAAAAGTTTCAGGATTTAACCATTTTACGAATTTACAAATAAAAAAAAAAAAAAAAAAAAAAAAAAAAAAAAAATCTTTATCTTTATTTATTTATTTAAATCTTTTTTTTTTAATCTTCCTTTGTTCATTTTCGAAAATTTTATGAAAGAAAATTTTTTGAAAATAAATTCAACATTTAAAAAGGAAAAATTCGTGCATTTAAACATATAGTTTAAACGAATAAAAAAAAAAAAAGAAAAAAAAAAATAAATAAATAAATAAAAGAAGAAAATTAAATTAATACTGAATTGAATTCTGTCGAGGTAGAGCCTTGAATTACGATAAAATATTTATTCACATTTCAACTGAATGAATGAGAAACGTTATGATCAACGTACGGCTGCATTTTTACCCCCGTCACAAGTGAAAATCAAGTTGCGTTAAATGAATGTAACAACATTCAAAAAGAAGTTGATTTAAAAAGTTTACGAAAAAAAAAAAATCAAATGCAGTGCTTTCTGCTTAACTGCATTTGCTTAACACATTTGCATCATTTTCGTGCACTCGAGAAAAAAAATATTCCCTCAAGTTCATTTTCACTTCTCTTAAGCATTTTCGTTTAATAAAACATGATGACTAAGTGTCCCTCCGTCAGATGAATGTAAAGTATTATGTGTGCGTATAATGAATGTTTGTCATCAAGTTCAACGGGGCGGTAAAAGAAGGCCGGGATAAAAGAAAACTTGTCGATAAAATTCATCTTTTCTTCGTCAGAGGCGAACTGAGAGTACTGAGGATTCTTTAGCTTTGTAAATGCTTGCCGGGTATCAGTTAAACGGAAGCTATCGTCGTTTCATGCAAAGTTCTAACTGTGGTAGAAGAAAGAGAAGCAATGAAGCATAAAAAAATCTGAATATGTATTGCGAACTTTATGAAACCCTTCATTTGCTGGATGCTTGGTGCTTGATGCTTGGTGCCTACTATCTGCTGTATGCATATAGTCGTATATGCTGCTAACCTTTACAATTTAACTTCCTTTTTATTATTCATTTTTGTTTTCTTCTCCCTAAAAAAGTAAATAATTGAGATGACCTGCAAAAAACATGCATTTGCTAAAACCACACAAGAACAGTTAAAACACATTAGTCAACAGTTGAGACCGTTGCGCACCCTCTCACCTCATATATGTTATGGGGACTGAACAGACATATGACTCTCGTTTTAAATGGCATGGGTATGCTTATGAAAGTATGTGTGCACCACTTCTGGGTTACCTAGTAACCTAAAGACATTTACCTACACTTGGCTTTTGCAAATTGTATATATTTTCATTTCGTATACTATATGCTGTTTTTATTTTTAATTTTTTATTTTTATTTTTATATATATATATATATATATTTCAGTAGGGATATTTTTGTAGATATGTGCAAAAAGTATGAAAAGAAGAGCATGAACAGTGTTTACGATGTTAAAAAAAAAAAAAAAAAAAAACAAAAAAAACAGGCAAACAAACTGTACAGTTATAATGAACATGACTTTAACGAGATATTCCGAAACATAATTATTTTAAAACAGGTGCCGGCAAGAAGTGATATAAGTTGCTTTGACAAATCCCATTATTTTTTTGCAAAATTTGTTTTTACTTTTTCTCAAGAGAATTTCATTTTTATATTATTTGTTTATTCTCCATTTTTTTCAGCACATCCTCCCATTAAAGATATGTTTTAAAAACTATACTTTGTTGCATTTTCGCTCGCAATAGATCAGAAGCCCAGCGTAAATAAATGAATAAAAGTTTTACCCACAACAAAAACCTCGTCCCGTATATACAATCAGAAAATTTGACAATTGCAACAACTGAACACCGTGGCAACTGCTAGTGCAAAAAATAAAAAAATAAAAATATGTAACAAGTTTTCCTTTTAATGTTAGCGAACACCAAAAACGAGTAACGGAACTTCTAATGAATTAATTAGAATAGTTTTTATTTTTGTTTTTTCAAACCCAGAAGCTTTCTTTTATGCAAAATCAAAGAAACTTCACCCCACCCCCTGTATAAGTAACAGGGGAACGGTCAGAAAAACGCGAGGAAAGAGAAACAGATAACCAAATGACGGCCGCAGCTTAGTCCTGACCTGTCTGACCTATTGGTAAGTGGCACTCGCTATAGGTGCGATGCTCTACTGGACTGACATTTGCACTCGCTGAATTTAGTAGTCCCGATTCTCAGCTACTCGACTACTCACGCGCAGAGTAATCATAAGAGCATGCACTGGCATTGCTTCCTATGTTGATAGCTGTGTCTCGATCCGTGCATGTATTTCCTTTAGACTGGGCATCAGGCTATCTACTCATTTTTTTATTTATACACTTATGCATTTTTATATTTTAGGGAAAACTTCTTGGAGATTAACATTTCTGTTATGCTGGGTGCTCTCATTATCTCTCATTATCAACCCGATTACGTTGTAATCCCAAGTAAGATAAGCGAAAGGCACTGTACTGTCTGTTATACATGTCCTCCGTGTGTCA